CACACTCACACACACTCACACACACACACACACACACACACACACCGGGCTGAATTATGAGCCTCAGCGTGTAAATGTCAGTCTAACAGCAAATGAAAAGTTACGAGGCTTCATTAAAAACACTCAGCGGAGCGACTGAGAGAAAGGTGGACTTTAGCAGAAGATGCGTTTCACTCAGAGATTCACTGAAGTCCTTAGACGAAAAATATTTTCTTGAAGTCCCTCTGAGATTTTTAATATTTAAAAAATTTACAAAACATTTGCACTTTCATGCCAGTGATATTTTAGTATGACTGAGATACTATTATAGTTTTTTATTTATAGTATTATTATTCTGAATTCATTTTTATTTTTATATTTTCAGCTTTCGTTTCAAAATTTAGTCTGTTGTGTAATTTTGCCAATTTCATTGTCTTTATAGTTTTTATTAATTTTTATTTCAGTTTTAGCTTTACTTATTTAGGCACTTTAAATTAAACCAATTTTTTCCCTGGCAACTTGCTGAAATAAAATTAATTTATGTGTGTGTGTTTTTTATTAATATTTCATTTTATTTTTTTATTTTTTTTTCGAAAATATATTTTTATGGTTTAATTATAATAACAGTTCACAGTTCAGTTAACGATCACACAACACGCAAGTAAACAGATAAAATATCTTTGTTAGTAAGTGTTTTGATTGTTTTATTTTGAAATTATTTGCATATATAGTGCTTTCAAACACTCAAATCTTCAAGTATTGCTGAAATGCTGTAAACTTCTGTCCTTAAAAATGTTGGAAATTCATTGTTTAAAAAGAGTAGGAACCCTGAAGCAGTGTGAATTTAGTATCATTGATATTTTTGTATAACTTTGCTTAATTAGATTATATTTTATGTGCTCACGTTAATCTCTAAAATTTTTAGTAATTTTGTGTTTTTGTCTTTTTCTAGTTTTTTTTATCTATATAATTTTTATTTCAACTTTAGTTTCAGTTATTTTGGCAAATCTTATCTCGGCAACTAGCTGAAATAAAATACGTTTTTTAAATTTTATTTCAGTTAACGTTTAAAACTTTCCAACATTCAAATCCACAAGCTTTTAACATTATTTTGGCGGAATATTGGAAAAACACAATTTTAGCTTTATTTTGATTAATTATGCGGCCACATTTGTTTATTTTAATCTTCCATCAACTTGTCTTTTTCAATTTTTTTTTATCTATATAATTTTTATACATTTTTATTTCAACTTTAGTTTGAGTTATTTTGGCAAAATCTTATCTTGAAATAATTTTATTTATTTTTTTTCCAGTTAACGTTTAAAATGTTCCAACATTCAAATCCACAAGCTTTTAACATTATTTCGGCGGAATACTGTAAAAACACAATTTCAGTTTTATTTTGATTAATTATGCGGCCACATTTACTAAATACAATGTAGAAACTTTCATTTTCTGTAAAGCTGCTTTGCAATGATTTGCATCGTGAAAAGCTCTATACAAAAAAACTTGAATTGAATTGAACATTTGTTTATTTTAATCTTCCATCAGCTCATGAAGCCCTATATATGCATCTAATGAACTGAAATCCTTTAGAATGATTTCTGAAGATCATGTGACACTGAAGACTGGAGTAATGATGCTGAAAATACAGCTTTGATCACAGAAATAAATTACATTCTAACAGATATTCACATAGAAAACAGCTATTCTAAATCGTAAAAATATTTCAGTTTTTACTGTATTTTCTTGTTTTTTTTTTACCACTTGTTGCTGTGTGGCGTGATGTTAGACTGGTGTCACCTGAAGAGCTGGTGGGCTCCTGTGAGCTCCTGGAGTCTGCTCTGCAGCAGGAGGATCTCGGCTGTGAAGCGCTCCTGCGTCTCCTTCATCTGCTGCTGATAGTAGCTCTTCAGCCGCTCGATCTCCTGCCGCTGTCTCTCCTCCAGACGAGCCGAACACTCCTCAAACTCTGCCTTCAGCTCTGCAGGAACAGACGAAACACAACCGCAGAGGAGGAAATCCTGTCACCGTTTATAGTAGCGGTGGGAATCTTTTGGAAACTCACGATTCGATTCATATCGATTACTCAACTGTTTTCAACATTGATAATAATCAGAAATGTTTCTTGAACGGTGGGCAAGTGACGTAACCGGTGTTGCGGCTTAACACCGGTATCACCGTCAGCACCGTCTATCGCGGCAAGCCTAATATATATATATTTATATACAGTGTATATTTATGTTTACCTGCATCTCGTACAACCATAAAACACCATCAACGTTTTAACTTTTTGTTTTTAATAATATATTAGCTCAAAGGTGCACATTTTAGATTACCTGAGAAAACTTTTTATTTTTTTTGTGCTGTGTTGGCAAGAAATTCTATTAAAAAAAAAATTTTTTTAAATCAGAACAGTTCACCTCTTTGTAATATAATATAATATAATATAATATAATATAATATAGAAACAAACTGAAGCATTTAAGCTGAACAGAACAGAACAGAACAGAATAGAATAGAACAGAATAGAACAATAGAATAGAACAGAACAGAACAATAGAATAGAACAGAACAATAGAATAGAATAGAATAGAACAGAATAGAACTATAGAATAGAGCAGAATAGAATAGAACAATAGAATAGAACAGAATAGAACAGAATAGAATAGAACAATAGAATAGAACAGAATAGAACAATAGAATATAACAGAATAGAACAGAACAATAGAATAGAATAGAACAGAATAGAACAATAGAATAGAACAGAACAGAACAATAGAATAGAACAGAATAGAACAATAGAATAGAACAGAATAGAATAGAACAGAACAATAGAATAGAACAGAACAGAATAGAACAGAATAGAACAATAGAATAGAACAGAATAGAACAATAGAATATAACAGAATAGAACAGAACAATAGAATAGAATAGAACAGAATAGAACAATAGAATAGAACAGAACAGAACAATAGAATAGAACAGAATAGAACAATAGAATAGAACAGAATAGAATAGAACAGAACAATAGAATAGAACAGAACAGAATAGAACAGAATAGAACAATAGAATAGAACAGAATAGAACAATAGAATATAACAGAATAGAACAGAACAATAGAATAGAATAGAACAGAATAGAACAATAGAATAGAACAGAATAGAACAATAGAATAGAACAGAACAGAACAATAGAATAGAATAGAACAGAATAGAAAACAAACTGAAGCATTCTGAGATCTGTAAGCTAGATATTTTCAAATAACGTGAACATGTGTATTCTTATATAGTTATCTATGTAGAGTTTAGAGTAGTAGAGTTACTAGTACACCTGTGTGTGACTGTAAATATCTGGGAGTTTTGTGACCGTTCTGTGCTCATCATCCGCTATTTCCAGCACTAAATCAAGCCGCTCTTCTTTCAGCGTGATGAGGTTTTATTTCACATGTCACTGTGTCTGCGTTGGCTCTCGTGTTGAGCGGTTTCATCAGCAATCATTAAAGTATTCGATTTCTACAGCGACTCATTCGGCGCACATCGTTCTCTTTCTATGCAACCTGTAAACCGCATTCACCGCTTCTAACTCTACAGCGGTTTGCCCGAGCACTGCATTTATTTCATATTGACTAGAATTCAATCAAATGGCTTTCCCAACTTTGCGTGTGTCCTGTGCGCGCAGCTTAGAGGGAACGCTGGCCGTGACATAAATAATTACTGGGTGACAAGTGTCAGCACGCTGGTGAGTAAGCGTCAGTTAAACGGAGCCGTTTGACAGTGTCTCTCTCTTTCATGTCGATGGATCCAGGGATTAAAGTTCACCTCTACATTCATAAAGACAGTCACTTGCTTCATTCCTGAATGATTCAGCCGTTCGAACGAATCAATTGAATGAATGACTCAGTGATACTGATACCTGCTGGCGGATTCAGTTTCATTTTTAGCATATAATTTCAGTTATTTAAATCATATTTCTGTATTCAAAATTTTATATTTAAAACATTAATCTGCACATGAATTTAATTGCACTCATGCCACCTCTGAGCCTCATTAAACGTCTGAAAATGTAC